TTTTTCTGTCAAGCATATCTTGCACTTGCCTCTCAATCTCTAGTTTCTGAAAATAGGGGTAACGATAGGGCCTTACATTTGTGGGTGCAGTTCCGAGTAGCAAGGGAATGCAATAATCATGGGCACGCTTTGGTGGTAGTTCCTTAGGTTCTTGGAAGATCACTGAGAACTTCTGAAGTAGTTGCTGTAGTTGTGTGTGGCCTTCTTCGGATCTACTTCCTTGGGCTAGAATGGGGCCATTCCCGTGGGAGTCTATTTGCATTAAAACGATGTGGGTTGGATCTGCTGCCTGTTTCCTTAGGGAGGCGAGACCAATAGGTCCTAGTGAGACGGGCCCAATCACATATAACCGGCCCTAGTTGCCTTAACCATTGGACTCCGAGAACTACATCTGCTCCATTGATTTCCAGGGGGTGCAGATCTACCTCGAACTCATGTCCTTGTATCTTCATCTTTAATTTTGTGCACGTATTGTCGCACACCAGGTTGCTCCCATTAGCTACGTGCACCCAGAAGGCTGTACATGGTTGGACCGGAATCCCTAGTTGTCTGACCAATGTTTGGGTAATGAAATTGAGGGTGCTACCACTATCTATCAGAACTGACACATGGCGCCCTTGTACCAGTCCGATTACTCTCATAGTTTGAGAAGAAGCAAGACCGTTCAAGGCTTACAGGGATACTTCCGGGTATTCCTTTGTCCATTGCCCCCATTCTTGGTTGTCCATTGGCTCTTCAATGTCTGTTGATTGCTAGACATATTCGGTTTCAGGTTGAAGGAAGAAAACTTGAGGGATCTTACAGCGATGGCCCGACCCGAATTTGTCTCCACATGCATAACAAAGGCCCTTTTCCCGTCGGGCTTGCATCTCAGCCCAAGTTAACCTCTTGGCTGAGCCGGGGCCTGAACCAAAGTTTGTGTCCTTTCCTGTGATTCCTACTCCTGATCTGGGCTCCGGTTTACCCAAGATACCTGGTTTTGGGTTCGGTACCTGGTCTGATCGCAGCTCCCAGAGGTCGATTAATCCTTCTTGTCCGATTCAGTTTGTCTTCATGTAGTCGAGCTAATGCTGCTGCTTCAAGAACAGTGGTGGGTTGCATGGCTTTTACCTCCAGCCGCAATTCTTCCTTGAGTTCACCAGCAAAACTGCCGATAAGCACGTTTTCTGGCCAGCCTTGCACACACACAGCCAATCTTTCGAACGCCATCTGATAATCTTGGACGGAGCTGGTCTGTCGTAGCTTAGCGAGGCTTTCATCATAGTTCTCAAAAGCCGAGACTCCAAATCGCATGATTAAGGCATCGGTGAAGTCTGCCCATGTGGCTCTTGGGTGCCGTCGCCGGTACCATTGGTACCAGATGATCGCCTCTCCTTCCAGGTGTGCAGAAGCTAATGGAACACGATCAGGTCCTTGTGTGTCGTGGTAATCGAAGTATCTTTCTGTTCGCAGAAGCCAGGATGTGGGATCTCCCCTTGCGAAGATGGGAAACTCGACTCTTGCTGTTCTTGATCCACTTCGATGACTGGTGTCACTTCGCTCTTCTTGATTCGGCGCAGGTGGTGCCTGTGCTAGTCGTTCAAGCAAGGATGCAAAGCTTTCTTTGATTTCTTTGACGTCAGCCGATATTCTTTGCATTTCTCCTTCCATGTTGTTGACTCTGTTCTCCATTGCGGATGACCTTGTGCTTGGCATCTTGGCTCTAATACCAACTTGTTAGGGACTACCTAACTCAGGGACTCTTTCGAAGGAGCCTACCTTCTGAATGAGAGAGAGAGAGAGAGAGAGAGAGAGAGAAAGAGAGAGATTGTATTCCCAAATCGATAATCCCCTCCTAACCTCCTTTCCTTATTTATATACTGCTGTTACAATTCTGTTATACCAGCCTCTCCACTTGTCCAGTCCACTTGTCTAGTTTGTTATTTAGTTTGTTCTAGTGGTTGGCTGTTAGTTACATTCTTTAAAGGTTGGCGTGGCCTTTTCTTGTACACTTGTACTCCCTTTATTTGTGTCTCAACAGTTGTGCAGTCAGTAGTTTTCAATATTGAAACATCTTTGCTATGGTAGTTTTTGGTTGTGACTTGTTAGAGTTTATTGTTTCAACTCTCAACTTGATAATATAGCCTTAATCCCAACTATTTGGGGTGTTCCACATGAATCCAAACTTACCATTAAGCTCTATCAAGACTCAAGAGTCAATGGTTTCACGTGTTATATTCATGTGGGAAATGTGAAGATTTGAGATCACTTATTGGAAGCTTCCTAATACTGAGGATATGTAAAATCAGAGGTAGATATTTTATATAATCCAAAAGATACTACCAGTGGAAGCGCCTTTGGCATATGCCTCAGGGTGTTTTGGGGGCGCCTCACCTGGAGGTGCACTCCTAGGCGTATGCCTCCCATGCCTTTCAAAACACTGGTATGAATAAAAAGATGCCCCAAATCTGTTCAGTGATATTACATTAGACAATATGATGATTAACATTTTCTTCAAAGGCACAAAATACCCACTTGTTCCAAATTAATGTGTCTATTGTTCAGTTGGTATGGAAACTTTCTGGTTGCTACTAGCCATGCAAATGCCTCAAGCCCTAAGGGATTGAATTACCCTAGATACTTGCCAGTCTCGAGGTGATTTTTATTACTCTTGCAATTCTATCTGTATCCTTTGACTTTGAAGATCTGGCTGGATCTGTCAATTACCCCCAAATGGTTAGGAGAGGAATTAGGGCTTCCATTAGGGGCCAATCCTAGGGAGAGTAGATTTTGGACCCTGGTGATAGAAAAGTTTGAAAAGAGATTAGCTTCGTGGAAGTGGAATTATATCTCTTTGGGAGGGAGAATTGCCTTAACAAGAGCTACCTTGGCTAACTYACCTACCTATTTTTTGTCTGTCTTTAGGATACCAGTTAGGGAAGCTAGGAAGCTGGAGAAGTTGATGAGAGATTTCCTGTGGGAGCCAGGACAAGAAAAAAAGGATCATTTGGTTAATTGGGAAATTGTGTGAAGAAGTAAAGAAGGGGGGGGGGGGGGTTGGGACTTGGGAGGGTGACAAAAAAAATCAAGTTCTGTTAGGGAAATGGTTGTGGCGATGGCCATTGGAAAGTGAGAGGCTGTGGCATGAGGTGGTTGGAAGCATTCATGGGAGATCAGAGAATGGATGGGATGTTGGTGTGTCAAGGCAGGCTAACCTAGCAGCACCTTGGAAGGCCATTCACAACACCCTTCCTCAATTCCTCAAATTTATCAGGTATGAAGTTTTTTCTGGCAACACTGTTCGCTTTTGGGAGGATATCTGGGTAGGAGACACCCCTTTATTGGACCTATTCCCTTTGCTATTTTTTGTTTCTTTGTATAAAAAAGAGGTGGTCTCAAAATTTTCTCATCACTGGGAACACCCTTAGCTCCTAATTGGGATTTTGGGTTTTGTAGAAGACTAAGGGATGATGAAACCGAATCTCTCTCTGTCTTGCTATGTTGTCTTAATCAGGTGTGTTTGGATCCCTCCAAGCCAGATAAAAGGGTGTGGACTCCTAGACCAAATGGAACCTTTACTTGTACTTCTTTCTTCAAGTCCATCTCTCAACATTCTACTAAACAACCCTTTCCGTCAAAGGAAATTTGGTGCAGGCCAGTTCCCCCAAAGATTATGGCGTTTTGTTGGGAAGTATTCCATGGGAAAGTAAACACTCTAGATAACCTACAAAAGAGAAGACCTTTCCTCTGTATTTCTCCCAATTGGTGTATCCTCCGTAGAGCTCACGGTGAGGATTGTTACCACCTAYTAATATCTTGTCCCTTTTCTGCAGACTTTTGGGCTTAGCTACTTTCGTTGTTTGTGAGTAGTTGGAGTCTACCAGTAGAAGTTCGCATGCTCTTCAACCATTCTACTTTCTCTTGGCCTACAAAAAGAGGAAGACTTATGTGGAGATGTGCTCGCGCTGCCCTGATTTGGACTCTTTGGGAAGAAAGGAATGCTAGAATTTTTCAAGAAAGGGAAAGGAATAGTCAGGAATTGAAAGACCGTGCGCTGAATAGGGAAATACCTTGGCTGAAGACCTTGGAAATCTTTCATCAATTCTCTTTTAATGATCTTTGGAGAAATTGGTCAGCAGTAGCGAGGTGTTCGTCCCTAAAGGACAAAGCAGTTACAAGCTTGTTTCCTCCATCTGAAGGCTCACTGAAGTTGAACTTTGATGGAAGTAGCATGGGTAATCCTGGATTATCCGGAATGGGGGGTGCTTTGAGAAATGAGAAGGGAGAGATTCTGTTGCTCTACTTAGGTCCCTTAGGAGTTGGGGTTTCTATCAGGGCAGAGCTATTAGCTGTTGTACAAGGGGTGCAATTTGCAAACCAGCTGGGGGTACAACACCTAATAGTCGAAGGGGACTCCAAAGTGGTGGTGGGTTGGTTGAAAAATCCTGAAGAGGCTATATGGTGCTACAAGAATTAAATGAAGAAATTCAGTTGGTTGACAAGGAATATGTTGGTCACTGTACAGTGGGTGGGCAGATCAGCAAATACTTTGTTAGATGTGTTAGCCAAGCAAGGGGTAAATAGGGAAGAATTGTTTTGGGCTCAGCTGTGATTCCTGTATTTCTTTCCTAGTTTACTTGTAAGGTTCAAGGAGGGGCTGCAGCTCGCGCCTCTTTCTCGGATGTTGTATGAATTCACAACTCTAAATCGGCTTCTGAATTAATAAATTTATTATTAGTCATCAAAAAAAAAGTTACATACTTCCTGTCCTCTCCTAATTTAATAGCATTTAATGTTTGGTGTATGGTGTATTGGTGTGAGTCATTATTGGGATCCATTAATGTTAGTTGAACAAGAATGACATTAATTGTTAACCACTTTAAGTATAGGTTAATAGACATCTTTCCTTGTACTTTTTGTAACGTCAAGAGTTATTGAAAAATGTAGTACTAAAGATTACACTGCATATTTGTATTCATGTTCTTGTATCACATTTTGCAAAATGCCTCCAAGTTACTTTTAAATTGCATTTTTCAAGTGAACTTTTCTCTCCTTGTTTTTTGTCATATGAATTGCCTTTCTTTCTTCCAAGATTCATTATAATTGCTTTGATGTTGAAATGCTTACATCTTTTTTTTTTTTATCATTTTTCTTTTGAAATGTTTATATCTTTTGTCTTCATGTTCCTCAATTTGGTGTTGTCATTAAACCTAGGGGCATATTAAACTGAGGACTAAATTCTTCTGTTGTTAGACTTTTATAATTAAATTTGGTGCAAACCCTGCTAGGGTGATGCCTGTGATCCTTATTAATACAAACTCGCTTAACCATGCTATATCTGATTTTCCCTTGCTTCTCTTGGTAGGACATTAATCAAGACTGGAGCATTGTAGAAGCACTTAATTATGAGGAGAACTTCTTCCATAACCACCCTGTATCTTTTACATACTGAAATGATTATTCTTTCATTATTACTTGTTGAGAGTTTCAGAGTGCCACTAAAGTTGCATTTCTGTTGAACACGTACATCTCTTTACAGGTATACCATGGCCTTTCTGATCAATGCGGCATTCCTCAATTGGCAAATAAGTTGAACAAGGTTGGTTTACTTTGTTGTTCTTTTAAGTAATATTTGGTATCATTTATCTGTTTATCCTCTCTTCTAATCTAATCATAGATAAACAACAAGTTAACTTCCTAGGGTTCCCAAATACATTGAAACTTGAAAACATAACCAACAACTACAAACAATTGACCTGATCCAAAATAACTTAAAAATCCTAATCAAACCATGGCTTGACTCTTGAGATTGAACAGAAATATCAAATAAACCCAATTCACTATCTATAGAACTTGTAGTAGATCTTAAACAGTTAAACTAAAGGCTCTTTAAACACCTACAAAGTTTCTTTTAAGCTCTAGAAGTGGTACTTCTGCTAATGTATTCTTTCTTGCATCTATACTCCACTGTGGATTTATCAAAAGGATCCCACCCCTTTGACCTATGGAAGTGCCTCCAATGCTCTCGGACCTGGCTTCCATGAGAGTACCCACCTAATAAAAAATAGTCATAACTTTCCAATTTTATATAAAGAGAAAGAACTCCTTGAGACTCTAATTCCCTCATGAGTCATCGACCTTTTCAATAAAATGGCCATTAACTTCTTCGAAGCACATTGAGTTCACCTTAACTTCTTATTGTTGATATGTATATAAAAAATGAGTGTTGAAAAACAAGTTAAATAGATTAGTTCCAACCCCAAAAATTTAAGCAGTAAGAATAGTTATAAGATCATTATTTTAACTTCTTTATAGACTAAGAATTTTTTTTTATTTTTTATTTTTGGATCCATGGGGCTACACAACAGGAGGTAGCCCATCCCCCAACCTTGTTGCAGGTGGGATTTGATTCCATGTCTTCGCTACAACCAGCTGGAGACCTTACCTACCAACCAGTTTGCACCTTGTGACTAAGAACTCTTAATTAAACACTTATCAATGAGAATTAAACTAAAAACTTATCATCATCATCATCATCCCTATCCCCAACTATATGGGGTTAATTACGTGATTCATGTAGCTACCATTCTGTTCTTAATGGTGTTGTAGATGGTATTTTTTTTTTCATGTGACAGACCATCTTAGTCTACTTTTCTTCATTTTATCACCTATTGGACTTACTTCTAGCTTCCTTCAAATAAGTCCATGTTTGATCCTATCTTTTTCAATAGGAGGAAATTTTAAGGAAGGAAGAAATCTTTTAGAGGCAAAAGTCTAGATGTAAATGGCTTTAGGAAGGGGATGGGAATACATGATTTTTCCATTCTCTTGCAAATGGGAGGAGGAAAAACTTTGTTTCTAAGGTAGAGGTGGATGAATAGGAATTCAGGAGGGACAGGGAGATCATTAAAGTTTATGTGGATCCTTTCAAGGGTATCTTCTTTAGAGTAGATGAAAGAAGCCGAGAACTGATAGACCTTGAGTGGCATAGGGTGACAAGTTAACAATCCAGGGCCTTGGGGAGCAATTTTACAATTGAGGAAATTAGAGAGTTCATTTTCTCTATGGAAAGATCAAAAGCCCCTGGTTTGGATGGTTTCTCTATGGTGTTCTATCAAGACTGTTGGGAGACTTTAAAAAATGATTTACTAGAGGTTTTTAAGGAATTCCATAAAAAGGTGAGGTCTTACTAGGAGCAAATGCCACTTTTATTGCCCTAATACCCGAAAAGAGAGAAGCCACAGTCCTAAGAGACTACAAACCCATAAGTTTGGTGGGCAGCTTGTATAAAATTTTAGCTGAAGTTCTGGAAGGTAGTGGAAGGAAGAAAAATAGTTGACCAAATCCTAGTGGCAAATAAGTGTGTAGTAGAGAAAAGGAAAGGTGGGGGGAAGGGTTTCATTTGTAAATTTGATCTAGAGAAAGCTTATGATTATGTTGGGTTGGTTTCTCTTACTTGATGTAATGAGGAAGATTGGGTTTGGGGAAGATGGAGGATGTGGATCAAGGGATTCTTGAGTTTAGTGCATTACTCAATATTGATTAATGGAACTGCTAGAGATTTCTTGCCAACGAAAAGAGGCATAAGACATGGGAGCCCTTTATCCCCTTTTCTTTTCAATCTATTTGTAGGAGGTACTTAGCAATATGATCATCAAGATTCAAGACTGACTTGAATAACTTGCTTAGAGGTTGGAGGATGGGTAGGAATGAGATTGTGGTTACCCATTTGGAGTTTGCAAACGATATAATCCTCTTTTGTGATGATGATAGCTCTCTTCCAAGGAATCTCAAGGAACTTCTTAGCTCATTTGAAAATGTTTCAAAATTGAAGGCTAATTTGGGAAAAGTTGTGTTGCAAGGATAAATATGCAAGAGGAGGAAATCCATAGAATAACATATCTTTTAAGGTTGTGAAGTTAGAAGTTGGCCCTTGGAATATTTAGGTTTCCCCTTGGGAGGTAATCTGAGATTTGATGGATTTTGGAAGCCAGTGGTGGAGAGATTTGCTAGAAAGCTAGTCATGTGGAAAAGAAATTATATTTCAATGGGGGAGGGGGAATAATCAAAGCAACAACGGCTAACCTTCTTATTTATTTTTGTCCACCTTCAGAATTCCTATTAGAATAGTAGGAAAATTGGTGAAGATGATGAGGGAATTCTTATGGGAACTAGGAGATCAAAAGAAATACCACTTGGTGAAATGGGAACATGTGTGTAGACCTAAGGACAAAGGGGGGCTTGGATAGGGAACTCAGTTTAGAAAAGTGCAGCTCTCTGTAGGAAACTGTGGACCCCACATTAGTGTACTCGTGTGACAGCCTGAGTTGTACTTAGATTTATGATTAGGATCAGCTTTCCTAGTAGAATCAGTTTTAATCTTATTCTATCTTATCTAGGATTAGTTTTTTAATTATCTTATCTTGCCATGTAAGCGTTAAAGTTCTTTTACAATTAGGAAACTATGTATATAAATTCAAAGGGTGGGGCGGCTGTTTTAATACACCAACCACTCTCTTCTCTCAAAAGTCCTTCCATGAGTTCTCCCTCTCTATCTCTCTTCTCTTCTCCTCTTCTCTTCTCCTCTTCTCTTCCTTTCTTTTATTTTCTGTTCAAAATCTAAAGAATATTTGTAGTCTTGTACGACTACTCTCTCCTAGGAAAATGGCTATAGAGATATCCCTTAGAATGAGAAAGACTTTGGTACAGGGTGATTGAAAATATACATGGACGGTTGGAGTTGGACAACTGCTGGGATGCAAAAGTAGCTTCTAATGTGTTGTCAACTTCTTGGCAATCAATTCATGAGGCATATCCTTCCTTCCTTAGCCATATCCGATTTGATGTGGGATGAGGGAACAAGATATTGTTTTGGGAAGACTTCTGGATAGGAGAACAACCTCTAAAGGTCCAATTCCCCTTACTCTTTGGATCTTTGCATGGTCAAACTATAAGTTTGAACTATGACAAGTGATGACAGTGGAGAAATTTTGGGACTATATTCCTGCCCTCTTAGCCCAGGGGACTCCATGACAGCAGAGTGGAATGCTATGGCATTTGAGATACAAAAAGCTGTTGAAATAGGAGTCAATAAATTGATAATAGAAGGAGATTCAAAGGTAATAATCAGTTGGCTGAAACAGTCTGAAAAAGCCCCATGGTACTTTTAGAATGAGATAAAAAAGGTCAGAAGATTGCTAAGTAATAGGCAGGTGGAATTTCAGTGGGTCCCAAGGTCGGCTAATAATATTGCGGATCAACTAGCAAAACAAGGGGTTAACAGAGCACAGTGCTTTTGGGCTCAATTATAATGCTTAAGTCATACTTACTGTTGTGTTTTCTTGTAATGCTTCTCTTTGTAATGGGGTAGCCGAGGCTGCCCAATCTTTTCTATTCTAATTAATAAAATATTTCTTGGTACTATTAAAAAAAAACTATAAGTTTGAACCCATTTCCAAATTTGTGACATTTAGCAATTTGGGGTTGAATTGGGTCTTTGGATTGAGGAGGGGTCATAGGAAGATAGAGGCTCTCATACCTCTATTGTCCAAATTAGAATCAGTCTTCTTGGACCAAAGTACAGAGGACACAAGGGTATGGGCAATATCTCTTGATGGTAACTTCACCTGTGATCTTGGGGTTAAACCACCCAGTGAAAGAAATTTGGAGCAAAACAATTCTACCAAAAATTCAGGTCCTTTGTCAGGAGATCTTTCTTGGTGCTGCAGGAAAAAATAAATAAATAAATGTCTCTCTCCTCATACATGTTTCCTTTGCAAAGCTAGTGGTAAAAGTATTTTCTATTCATTTATTCACTGTCCTCTTGTGCTTTGTGTTTGGGAGCATTTTTGTTCTCTTTTCGGATGCAGATGGACTCCTCCCCGAGATGTGGTGGGTCTCTTTGATCCAAACTTTCTGAGAAAGCCAAAGAAGAGAGGAAAAATAATGTGGAAAGCAGTGAGACAAGCACTGATTTGAACTATATGGGAAGAAAGGAATGGGAGGATTTTCAATGAAAAGAGTAGGTCTGAGTCGGAGAGTCATAGATACCATTAACACAAAATTTTCACGCTGGTTAAAAACCTTGGAAACCTTCCATGATTTCTCATTTACTGATATTTTGAGATCATGGAAGGAAGTAATGCATTTGGCTCAAAAGGAGAGAGTGATAATGGGGCAGAGACCACCAACAACCAATGCTGTGAAATTAAACTTTGTTGGAAGCTTTTTGGGAAGTGAAGGAAGGGCTGGTTTAGGGGGTGTCTTTTGATATTCACAAGGTACTAGCACTATTTTTGGGCCCTGTAGAACAAGGAGACTCATTGACAACAGAACTTCTGGATTTTGTTAAGGACTAAAATTTGCAAAGCAGTTTGAGTTTTGGATGTTAGTAGGGGAAGGGGACTCCCAGGTGGTTATTTCTTGGACAAAACTTCACAGTTAAAGTCCTTGGATTTACAGGCACAAGATCCAGGAAATTGATTGCTTAACATGGGAATTAAATATTACCTTTAAGTGGGTGAGAAGAATTGCAAATGGCTTGGCAGATGTTTTAGCTAAACAAGGGGCAAATAGGCACAGATGTTTTAGGATAAAATGTAATGTTTGAATTTTGGGATTGAGTACTAGCTTTATATTGATGTTTTCTTGGGTGTGGGTAATATACCCACAGAAATGTAACCTGCAGTTTTAATATTTATTTAATAAATCCTACTTTTTCCGATCAGGAAAAAAAAAGCTAGGATCTTTAGGTTTGAGGGTGATTAAAGGGATGGGATAGGAGATCCATATAGCATATTTAGTGCTGATGGGGTTTTGGATACTCAATGAAGGTTGAGATAAACACAGTACTTCAGGGTTTATGGTATGATTCTGCATTGACGAATAACCAGCCCATTTGGAGGTTGGAAGGAACTTGCAGATTGTTATTGGATGGCTTAGAGATGGTATCGAGGGACAATGGAAATACTGACATCTAATTACAGAGGCTAGAGCTCTATTTTTCATAGTGAGAATCTTGTTTTGTTGGTTATGGAGATTAGTGAACATCTCTGCAAATGATTAGCTAGGAAAGGAGTGGTGAGGGCTGAGTTCTATTGGAGTTATTCCATTTCTTTATACTGCTACTTTTAATTGTTTCCTGGTTGGTACACAGCTATGAGCTACCTTCTTGTATGAGAGGCAGCTCCTTTTGGTCTGGTGCGGCACTAATTGTAGGGGTGCAGGTCAGGTACCAAATTAGAAGAATTTACACAGCATCCGACCAAGGCCCTTGGGCCAGGTCCAGTCAGATAATCAGATTTTAACAAATTCTCAATCTGAGCTTGCTCAAGTTGTACCCCTACCTACTTGGGTAGGCTGGATGTTTATGCTTTGCTGCTTTCATAGACTTATATAATTTCTGTTATCAATAAAAAATAAGTATTTTGGACATCGTCTTGTTCTTGGGATCTGGGATGCTTTTGATGGTCAGCTTCTTTTGGTATATGGTTGTTTCTGTTGGCTGTTTTTTTCTTGTATTTCTTGGTGTTTCTTCATTCCTATAAAGGTTCTGTGAGTTCAGTCCTTCGTACTCTAGGCATTTCTTCTTTTCCCTTATCTATTAAATCACAGATATTGATAAAAAGAGTTGATGCATCTCTTAGCCAAGACGAGTGCTCATACAAAGTTCTCTTTTTTTTGGGGGGGGAACTCTCTTAATTCTTTAATTGTTTCATTTCTTTTTGTCTTCATGCATTATATCAGAGTTATTCCAAAAAAAAAAAAAATGAAAACAGCAGGAATGTGGGAAATTGTGAATAGTTCTCTTATATTTCCTTGTTATTTTTTCTGCACCAGATTCTAGAACAGCATATTAGAACAGTCCTTCCACGACTGAAGGCTGAGCTGAATTCTCAAATGGTTGCTGTTGTAAAGGAGATTCGGACCTACGGGGAAGATATAGAATCAAAAGTAAGTTCAGCTGGATTAAGATCAATTTTGAGAATATGTTTTTATGCTGTCTCTTTTGATTGTGATGCTATTTGGAAAGACAAAACTGTAATTGTGCTCATAGTAGACATACTATATTTTGTTTACATGTAAGCACAAATCCTTTCAAGAATGAAGTCAATGGTGTGAATTGCCTTTACAAAGATCATTGATGTGCATGACTTACTTCATAGCTTGTTAGCATGCAGAAAAGAGATATGGACTGAGCACCATTATTATATCTCCATGAAATAGAGTTCCTTCTGGACACGGTCATGAGGCATCACAAGGGCTGTGAACAATTAGGCTGTGTTTGGATCTTCATGGAATTGGAATCATTAATTCTATCAAGCTCACGAATCGGCAGTTTGTGTCCATTTTTTGGAGTGGGATTTGGCATAACACAATGGTTAGCCTTTCAAATTTGGTGTTTCAGCAGATTCAAAACAATTTTTTTTCTTGGGGGGCAGGGGGTAAGGTGTTTGATCATCTCGATTATGAGGAATTGAGGTGGGAATGGAATTCAAATTTAAAATCCAGTTCCATGATCCAAATGCAACCTTAGTGCCTCTCTGTTTTGTTCAGTGAGATAACTCTTCATGCTTCCATCTGAAATTGAAGGTAGTTGACACTTGACAGGAGTAGGGCCTAACAAAAAGTTGTCTGTTCAATGTATCTGATGACATATGTATGTCTGTATCATCTGAGTGATCTATGAATTTTCTTTGATGCCATTAATTAACTAGGCGGAGCAAGGGGCAGTACTGTTAAACATTCTGACAAGATTCTGTAAAGGTGAGATTCATTTTTTGATATATCACTTTATATTTTCTAGTCATCGACAAGTAAAGTTTTCAAGATGTAATGTACTTTTCGGCAAAAGGAAAATAGGTCACATCATCATGCCTATTTACTTCGAAATTTTATATTGCATTTTAGATTCTTTTTTTCCTGAACTAACATTATCTTATTGATAATTTTTAACAGTTTTAACTTTTCATAAGCACTGTCTTGTCCTCCAATTCATTTTGGTATTTTCCCTGAATAGTAGAGAATGATAGATCTTCACTGAGATTAATAATAGAATTGCTTCTGTTCTTTCTCATCCCACTTTTAGGTGACTATTTTTGGTATCTCTAGCTTTCTTCCTGATCTTGTTTGCAGTCTGTCTGAGATGCATTTTAATCCTGTGTGTTATCCAACCTGGCTACTTATTACTTTTCCCTTTTTGCGGCTCCAGCATCAGTTTTAAAGACCCTTGAAAGGTTAAGATGTAATTTCTTATGGGATGGGCTTAACGATGAAAGAAAAATTCATCTAGTCTCCTGGCATGAAGTTTGCAAACCTAAAGAACTTGGTGGAGCAGGTATCAGGAACCTTGGAAGCCATAATGTGCCAGCTAATGGAGAAAGGTTATTAAGCATACGCATGGAGTGATGTCATGGACTCGGAAACAACTTCCTGCCTATAACCATATGGTACCAGCTTATGGAGAGGCATCATGAATCAAAGAGACTTATTTCATGAAGGCATATCCTTTAAAGTGGGCTGTGGTGAAAAGGTGCTTTTCTGGAAGGACCTTTGGCATGGGTCAACACCCTTGTTGGAAGTGTTTCCTTTACTGTAGATTGCCCTAAATAAGGAGGCTTTAGTCAGAGATTCATATGAAATTCTGGGAGGTCAGCCAGCATGGGTGCCAAAACTTCAGAGGAACATTCAAGATTGGGAGACAAAGAATCAACAAAGACCGATGTAACTTTTATTGAGGAAATTTCCTCAGCCAACTGAAAGGAATAAGTGGGGATGAAAAGAGGAAAGTTTTGGTATTTTCTTTGTTAAGTCTTTTTACAGGTCCCTTGTAGGCCATCCGAGGGAACGTGTACCTTGGAGGTGGATTTGGCATGTGAAGGCCCCTGGCAAAGTTAGTTTTTTCTTATGGACAGAAGAGATGCTGCTTGCAAGAGGAATGCAGGTAGACTGCATGTGTGGCTTGTGTGGTAATGAAAGTGAGTCCAATCAGTTCATGGTGCACCTGCAATTGTGGTTTCCAGAAGCCTATGAAATCTGGACACATTTCCTTCAGCTCTTTAAAAGGCAATGGGTGGTTCCTGGAAGCTTTGAATGCTTGATGTCCTCTTGGCAGTCTAAAAACCTAAGAAGGAAAGCTAGATTTTGTGGAAGCTGACACCTCTTGTAATATGTTGGAACTTATGGAAAGATCACAACAGTAGGATCTTTTAAAATGAAGCTCATCCAATTGAAGCACTAATAGGGAAGATTGAAAAGACCATCATGGGATGGGCCTGCTGTCAAAGCTCATTTCAACATTTGAAATATCAACACTTCTTTTCTTACTGGGAGGGAATTATTTTGAAATTGTGGATAGTGGATAAGATTGTAGCTGCAATATTTTGTGCAGACTTTACATACATGTAAATGTTTTGTTGAGGGTCCTCCTCCATATTAATACAATTTACACTTTATAAAAAACATTTTTCTTTTTATTTTGATGCCTAGTTGTGATGTGTATGTATGAATCTTATTGTTACGAAATTATAGGCTGTAAATATGTAGTATTAGCCCAATTAGRAATARCTTGATTATAGGAATTATTCTTTCTTTGATTTTCTTCCTATTTAGTATCTACAAGGCTGTATGATTTTCTTCCTTTTTTGTATCTGCAAGGCTGTATGATT